GCAGATAGCAGAGAGAGACAAAAGATCAGAGAGGAGCCACACTGGGTGCTTTGGAATCAGGCTAGGGCCAGGCTTGAAATTTCCACTCGCCTGCTCGCCAATGGCGAGTGGAAATTATGGTGGGGGTGAGTGTGTCCCCCAGGGCCGTCTTGCTGAGCAGGCTCGGAGCTCAGGCCGGATCTGTCATTGGCACTGGGAGCCGTCAGACTGCTCAATAGCTGAGCGCAGTGAAAGCAAAGGAAGGAGTGTGTGCTGTGCTCTCTGCCTCCCCCTAGAGTGCAGTACCCGGCTCTGTGAGTGAACAACGAAGTAATGCAACTTTTTATGGGGGGTGGGGGTGTGTGTGTACGTGTACATGTGTGTGTTTATGTATGCATGTACAATTGTAAATGTGTCTGTGTACATGTGTGCGTGTATGTACATGTATGTGTGTGTGCACATGTGTCTGTGTGTATGTACATGTGTGTGTGTGTATGTACATACATGTGTCTGTGTGTACATGTGTCTGTGTATGTATGTACATGTGTCTGTGCGTGTGTATTTCTGTGTATGTACAGGTATCTGTGTGTTTGTGTGTCTATACGTGCCTGTGTGTGTATACATGTGTCTGTATGTGTGTGTGTGTACATGTGTCTCTGTGTGTGTATGTGTGCATGTACATGTCTGTGTGTGTGTACAGGTGTCTCTGTTTGTGTGTGTTTGTTGGTGGCGAGTAACTCTAAGGCCTGGCTAGTGGGCTAGGGTACACTATAACGGGAAGTGCTTTGTTCACTTGTCTGAGGTTTACAACCACTTTAATTATTTGAACATACAATTTTCAATGTGAACATTCAGTTTGCTTACTGAACAGCCTATACTCCTTTAGCAAATGAACCCCACTATCTCAGTGTGCTCAGAGATATCTCATAATTCTGATATGGTGGAGTGGATTTACTAAAGGAATAGCGCATGTTCACTTTGCAACATGAATATTCACTTAGCTGAGTGAATACGGTGACTCTGGTGTTAATTTCAACCATCACATGCAAGCAGTAAGGTGAACGATTCTTCAGAGCAGAAAACCAGTGAATGATTACTTATGTCCCTGTAAATCATTTGTAAAGGAGGCGCAATCATAATAGATTCCAGAGAGTTACAGAAATAGAAAAAGTTAAGGATGATTTCTCTAATGCTGGAAGTACAGTATTTCAAAACAGTACAAATCAAATTAGTTTCACACATCATGTTGATAAGAATGAACTAAAGTATGTGTGATTTACCTGCCTAATATGTCTAATTTGGTAAAGCGACCCAAGACCCCATTGTGTTTGTGCCTCCTGTGTGTCAGGTCATGTATTCAAGATGGACTAAACTAGAAGGAACTCTGCAAAGGACTGTTTTAAGGGCGCATTCATACCAGCAAATTCATCATAAGTGATGCTTTGCTCTATTTACTTTTGCTCAACTTTATTGAAGTTTCACAACAGGAACATTTCATTCAACTTTCTTTGCTGCAGTGAGTTGCAATGCAGAGTACTACGTGGCAATATGCTGCACTGCATAAACGTAGTGCATCTCCTATTTTTTTTCAGCACACACCATGAAAATTGAACTCACAGGACTCAATGCAAATTTCCTGTGTATGTTTTTGGAACTTCCTTGGGAAGGGATGCCCAGCACAGCCCAATGCCTATGATATCAATGGCCCCTTAAACAGATTGCAAAGCATAACTTTAATGAGCTGAGCAATCCTTTAAAACCAAAACATCGGAACACACAGCCTTGGTGAGAACTGGAATTGGATAAATTGTGGGAGCCTCTGAAAAAGATTTTGGGAGGTCCTAATCTGGCACACATCATGTGCTTAAAGCAATACTAAACCCTTCCATCCTTTACGACCAAGGAAGCTGGTATCTTCGCTGCTCTTTGACCTAGCTATGTGCAATTTGTTTTGGTCCGAATCTAAATTTGGGTGATTTTTTTGTTATTCAGATGCATCCAAATTTCCAAATAATAACCGTAATGAATTTAGTTAAAATTTGCTTTGTCTATTAGTTTTCTAACAAATTCTACATTTTCAGAACGATTCAATTTGGTCGAACATTTATCGACCGATCCGAATTCTGTGTTAAGACTAGCTGGTTGTTAAAGTGCAGCTCCACCCAAAAGGGAAAGTTCCATTTTAGGCTTTAAGGAATTGATACCTTTGAGTAGACACCAATTATGAGGTCCAATGACATTAATGATTGGAGCACAATTCCTCTGACACCAAACAATGGGGTATTATTTTTCCCACTGACGTCTGGACCTTTTCTACTACTACTACAGTCTGGCCATCCTAAAGTCTGAAGTACAGTAAACTGGCCCTTTTGTTTAGAAAGTTTGGAGACACCTGGCCTAGATGATTGGAAGCAGAAGTTGTACTACCCCCATCCCTCCCTCCCCGTAGTCTTCTGGGACATGTGATAGGTCCCAGATGACTACGGGACCATTCACAAGGTGCAGTGCTACTCACGCATGCGCAGTGGGCACCCAAACTGTCACAGCTGGGTGCCCACACTTAAGATGCCGAGGAACGAGGACAGCTGGTGAAACACTGCTGGATCGTGGGACAGGTGAGTGGCTGTTTTTTAAGTCAGCAGCTACAGTTTTCTTTTAGCTGTTGACTTTATTTTTTTTTAGCTTTGACTGGAGCTCCGCTTTAAGATGACTCATCCACTGTCAGTTGTTTCCCCACTGACAGCTGCATATAAAACAAAGAATCGATTGCCGGCAAAGAAAAATTAAGAAACAAACCGGCAAAGAGTCCCCATCCCCCCAAATCCATACCAGACCCTTATCCGAGCATGCAACCAGGTAGGGCCGGAAAGGAAGGGGGTGGGGCGAGCACCCCCACCACCATACCATGCCTCCTTGTGATGTCATTGACATGGGCAAGCTGTGTCGATGTATTTACAATGTATCCCATACTCATTCACATGGGGAGGGCCAGGATCTAGCACCTGTTAATCTCCCAAGAATAAAGGATGCTTATAAGGAGAAACTGGATGTACTCATCAAGCTTGAGGAGTTGCACATAACCATATTTACTCTACAATTAGTAAAGGGTATGGATAGCACCACTAAAAAACACCTAATTAACCAAAAATATAATAAAATTTAATGAAAAAGCAGCTAAAACCTCACCCTCAAACAAGGTAAAAAGTGACAGAAATAAAAAAAAAAAAAAAGGTAGCACTCTAACCAAATGATCAATAATCACAAAAAACCATCATCAAATAATAATAAAAAAAAAGTGTATCAAAAACTAAAATATAATCTTAATTGCAAATATAAACTTATTTAATCAAACCAATAAATAATCCAGTGTCATAATAAACAAATTATATAAATTTAAAACATCTATAAAAAACGTCAAAAAAGTGTCCAATAATAGTGTCCTCAGGTATAAAAAATAAACGTAAAAAAAATCTTTTTATAAATCAATCAAATTCCAATGTGCAATATAATAAAGGAAAAGAAGGTGTGAAACTTAAACTTCAATGCTCCAAACTGTTAATACTTGAAACAAATGCAAAACACCGTGAAAAATCCACAACAAGATGAATTAAATCAACTCAACTTAAATCAGAGCTTTTGCTCTGGGAGCAACGATCTGCAGACTGATAGCCTGCAAAAGGGAGGCGATTCAATGAACATTAATATCTTCTTGACATAAAAGTCATAAAGGAAGAGAGAGGGAAACTAATAGTGTAAAATCGTACAACAACTTTATTCATAAAAACAGTCCATGTATTACACTCACATTCTGTAGTGTCAAAGCCGACACTAGCTTGAACAGCGTCTACAGCACAAATTCAAAAGAGGCCGCTTCGGTGTCAGCTGACACCGACAGCTCACTGGGCATGGTGACGTCACTCCAAAGCTCCACCCTACGTGTTTCCTTCCGCTCTGTGAGGACGTCAAGTGATGAAACGTGTAGGTTTTTGATGTTCTTTATTGATTTTTTACATTTATATAATTCTTTTATTATGACACTGGATTATTTATTGGTTTGATGAAATAAGTTTATATTTGCAATTAAGAATATAATTTGCTTTTTGATACACTTGTTGTGTATATTTTTTTATTATTATTTGATGATGTTTTTGGTGATTATTGGTCATTTGGTTCGAGCGCTACCTTTTTTTTATTTTTATTTCTGTCAATATTTACTCTATAGTCTGGGAAGACTCCTGGACCTGATGGTCTTCTGACAGAAATTTATAAAACATGCCGACTTCCATGTTGAACATGTTGGATGTGATGACTGTAGTGATCCCTAAGCCTGGTAAGGACCCTGACTGTGCTCTTCTTATCGACCAATTTCACTCCTAAATGTGTATGCAAAAAGTCTGATGAAAATTTTGTTTAAGTGCTTAAAGGTGGTTATATCAGCTTTTGGTATAACCAGACCAGCTGGGGTTTATGCTGAGCAGAGGGGCAAATAGATATCAATATCTTTACATTTTTTACTCATATGGCTGTAGCAGCTGTGGACAACCCAGGGGTAGTTGTTTCCTTAGATGCTGAAAAAGCTTTTCATTTTGTTGAATGGACCTATCTATAGGCTGTTGTCTGCAAATCTGTTTTTGGTCCCTGCTTCATTGCTTGGCTGCGTATGCTTTACTTGGTCCCTATGGCCAAGGTGCGTATTAATAATTCACTGTCTGCTCCTTTCCCCCGTTTAGAGGAATGAGACAGGGCTGCACCCTTTCCCTTTAACCTTCCAAATTCCTGCTGCAGACTCGGTGAAAGGAACTGAAGAGGGTGCAATTGAAGAAAAATTTAATTTATTTCTTATCAGGTTGTTATGGGTAAAGATCCACTTTAACTCTCCACTAAAATCCAATGTACCTGCCTTGATAGTTAGCAAGCTATCCTTTATTTAAACCAATACCTTAAAGTGTTACTAAGCCTAGGACCCTGCACTCACTATATCTGGTCTCCAACAGTACACAGAATATGGAAATGCAGTTATTTTAGTAAATATAAACTGCTGAATACCTTTCCTCATCAACAGTTAGAGCAGTCTTTGACTTCTATCAGTGTCCAGCAGAGCAGTGGTTAAAGCATGTAGGAGGAGTTTTTATTCTCCTCTGATTGTCCTATGAGGCTGCATAACCCCTGACTCTCTATCTGGACAGTGCTGATTGGCCCTGTGCTGATCACATGCACTCTCATGGAAAAAAAAAAACCTCTAGCAATACACACCAAATTGAGCATGTGCAGCATGTCCCCAATGCTCTGTTCTATCGACAGGAGACAGAATCAAACATCTTTTTTACACAATGCGTAGGATTAACCCCTTAGGCTCCACAGTGAGTATAACAAGCTTGCTTTACTGCATATACAGACTGATTTTACTGTTGTGGGTTTAGTAACACTTTAAATATAAAGCTCAGCTGCATTAATTTTCAAATATATGGGGTCACATATTACTATTGAGGTTCCTCTTTAAGAATAGTCTAACTGTACATAATGGATGTTCCAATACTAGAACATACACTATATTACCAAAAGTATTGGGACATCCCTCCAAATCATTGGATTCAGGTGTTGCAATCACCTCCATGGCTACAAGTGTATAAAACCAAGCACCTAGGCATGTAGACTGCTTCTACAAACATTTGTGAAAGAATGGGTCGCTCTCAGGAGCTCAGTGAATTAAAGCGTGGTACCGTGATAGGTTGCCACTTTTACAATAAGTCCATCCATGAAGTTTTCTTGCTACTAAATATTCCACGGTCAACTGGGAACAGCAGCCACTCAGCCATGAAGTGGTAGGCCACGTAAAATGACTGAGCGGAGTCAGTGCATGCTGAAGTGCACAGTGCGCAGAAGTCGCCAACTGTCTGCAGTCTCAATAGCTAAAGACCTCCAAACTTTATGTGGCCCTCAGATTAGCACAACAACAGTGCATAGAGAGCTTCATGAAATCGGTTTACATGGCTGAGCAGCTGTATCAAAGCCTTACATCACCAAGTGCAATGCAAAGCATCAGATACAGTGGTGTAAAGCACACCGCCACTGGACTCTAGAGCAGTGGAGATGTGTTCTCTGGAGTGACCAATCACGCTTCTCAAAGGGTGGGCCAACTTAATATTGAACCCTACGGACTAAGACTGGGATGCCAATCAAGTTCATGTGCCTGTAAAGGCAGGCATCCCAATACTTTTGGCAATATAGTGTATCTACAGCAGAACATTTGTATAGGTGTATTAGAAATGACTACACTAAGTACATTGCTTATCAACTGGTTCCCCCTAGGTCTATAGAACGATATACAGAGGCCCGACAGGACTTCGAATACCTGCTGAGAGCGACAATTGGCGAATTTGGAAATGTTGTTTTCTTTTGTAAAGGGTCCCAGTGCAGCAACAAACAGACGAGGATCTCTTCACTGTGACCTTAATATATCAATTTGGGTTGAACACAAAGATCTATTGAAGCTCCAGCAAGCATCGTTTGAGCAAACATAAAATTCTGATGAACAATATGGAGCAGAGATCTATTTCTGGATATGCAGCAGAAATTGCTTCTTTCAGGAAGTCACTTAATGATACTACTCAAGTTCACATTAAATTCTGTTCCAGCTCAAGAGAAAATCAATATGATGCTGCCCATTCAAGCAGAAAAAAAGAACAGTTGACTCCATGGTAATCATTTCATGTGCACACCTTACAATCAGCTACACAAATCTAAAAAGGAGTGAAAATAAAAACAAAACACAATTTTTGTCCTTAGGCCCCTTTCACAAAGACCGTATCTGGTCAAAGCAGCAGGGGATCAGTGAACATATCCCCTTAATAGAGCAAAACAGAACAGATGTGACTTTTGTGACATCTGCATCTGTTCATTTTTGCTGTACTTACTAAACCCAGGACCCTGCATTCACTATATCTGGTTTCTCACAGTACACAGAACATGGAAATGCAATTATTTTAGTAAATATTAACTGCTAAATACTTTTTCTCATCAGCAGTTAGAGCAGTCTTGTGACTTCTATCAATGTCCAGAAGAGCACTGGTTAAAGCCTGTAGGAGGAGTTTTCATTCTCCCCTGACTGTCCTATGAGGCTCCAGGACACGAGACCCTCTGTCTGGACAGTGCTGATTGGTCCTGTGCTGATCACATGCACCCTCCCAAGAACAAAAAAACACTCTACCAATACACACTAAACTGAGCATGTGCAGCTTGCCCCCAAGACTCTGTTCTATCAGCACATGGATTGGGGACTGTGGAAGAAGGGGAGGCTCAGAGAAGACAGGATCAAACAGCCTTTTCAATCAATGGAGAGCATTAAACCCTTAGGTTCCACAGTAACAAGCATGCTTTACTGCATATACATTTTGATTTTACTGTTGTGGGTTTAGTAACACTCTTTGGAACTTTCTGGGCCCATGTTAGATCAGATGTAAACGTACTTGCAATCATTTAATCTGCCACATCTAGGTCTGAAAAAAAAATGGAAAAAGTTGCAAACCTTTTCCATTTTTAATTTTTTTTACTGTGACAGACTCGCAGGTAATCAGAAGTAAGTCTTCATGCAAAATGGGCATTTTGAAAAACGGCGGTAGCATTAGCTGTATAAAGTCGCGTTAAAAACGCACGGTTTTCTGCATTTTTTAGCAGTTTTGCATTAGTGCTTAGCCACATTTTTCCGCATTTGCATTTTTTTACACACAAAAAAAGTACAATTTTTGCTAAAAAAAAAAAATGCACCAAAATGCGGGTTTGCTGCATTTTACCAAGTTTTTTCTGCATTTACCATCATTAGAGTGTTTTTACGGCTAAAAACTCCTTTAAGAAACACACTAGTTCTGTTTTTTTTTTCACAGCCAAAAAACGCTGATTAAAGCCTATGTGTGTGCAGGGAGTTTACTGGCTGTGGAAAAAAAAAACACCAAAAGCCAAAAATAGCAGCTGTAAAAATGTCCAGTGTAGATGAGGACTAAGACCGCTTGTATCTGGTTGCCCATGGACTAACATGGAGCTTCTGATCATGTTTGCTGAAAAAGACAGACAGGTGGGCCTGAACAGACCTCCCAAGGCCTCAGGTGTTAACAAAAACCCTTTTACTTACTTTTTTATACCTATTTAATAATAATCTCATACCATTTCAGAATAATGTCACTTCCTGTCTGACCCACTGGAATCCAATGACCATGGATGAGGCAGAGGCATTTTTAAAACGCGTTTACACGTGTCAAGCATTTTTTCTCTGCCAAAATACTGCTACTCCTGGATGCGGTGGCAGTGGGGTTTTTATCTGCCTCTAAATGCCTATGTGTGCATGAACACATAGGCTAACATGCAGGGGCATTAATAAAAAATTCATCCAAAATTATACAAAGTGTAATGTGCCAAATCTTATCCAAAATATCACAAATCTATAAAGTGTCCTGTGCAAATGGATAATTCAGTGCAATAACCAGCGTTGAAGTTAATAAAATACTTTACCCATAATAACTTAATAAAAAATAATGTTCTTCAGCAAGGAACATATATTCAACATGAATAATTATTCTTTTCATTCATTAGTGTGTGCTGTAAATTGCCTCCAGCATTGTTCTTGTGTCTTCTTGCTGGAAGCTGCCATTTTGCTGAAGCCCAGAGCCCCTGAGCAGGACTTGATCTGTAGGCTGTCAGCATATTGGCCTCTACATTTTCGGAACAGTGCCAAAAAACAGAGAGCAACTGAGCATGTGCAGAGCAGGGTGAAACAGTGTATTACTGGATTTTAAACAGTATAGGCACTTATTTAATGTTTTACTAAGCTATATCTGCACAAGGGGAAAGCCTGTAGTGATCTAGCAGGGTTAATGGTTCACTTTAAGGGCTCCATGTACACTGCAGCTGCTAAACTCACGTTTAGGAGCTGTTCAGCGTTTTTTTTCAGCAGCCCCTGAACTAACCCTAATGTTTTCCTATGTGTCCATGTACACATCTTCGTTTACAGTAGTTTACGGGCAGTTGAGTTTACAGTCATTTTAACGCAACAAACTTGTGTTCAGACGTCGATTTTATCAGAGTTTCAAACGCAAAACACTTGTAAATGCTGCAAATCGCATTTATAAGTGTTTGCAATTTTTTTTTTAAACTCTTCCAGTTTCCAATGCTGACCAGAGCCTTTTTTCATCATTTTTTCAAAATGCATGCAAATAGTTTTCAAGGTGCTCATATGGAAAAACACTGAACACAGGATGTTCCTACCAAGCTCGTCATGACCAATTCACACCTCAGACCTCTCCCACCCTTGGAAACAAAAGATATGTTAATGACCATTCACACCTCAAATTCCTCATGAAGACCCCCTGCCAGGTGACCATAATGACTCACTCCATCAGGCACCTTTCCCACCCTTGGAAACAAAAGAAATGTTAACCTCCTTAGCGGTGTTCCCGAGTGTAGCTCGGGGTAAAATTGCTATACCAAGAGCGGTAACCCCGAGCTACACTCGGGCTTACCATGCGGCATTCTCTGGGGGTCCCTGCAGTACTTACCTTGTCCTTCGCTCCCCGCGATCTGTCCCCTCCAGCGTCCCCGGCCATCTCCTCCGGCCAATGCCGGCATCCGGCTTCTGTGTTCCGGTCCCTGTGACGTGGGGACGTACGGGCGCCGGAACCGGCGGGGAAATTTGAATTTTTTAAAAAAAGTAATTTTTGCTGTCATTGCTATTTCAATGCATTTCACATACATTTTGTCCCTACTGCTTTGTCCTGTGCCCTGCCTGCATTTTGAATGTTCTTTCTGCCTGGAAACTTAGAAAAGTCCATGGCGTCCAAAAAGCGTCTCTTTACGTCAAAAGCGGTTTTAGAACAGCGATAGTAAATCAGAACCACTTGCAGAATTGAGTGATAATGATTCGTGGGCAAATTCGTCATCAGACACTGAAAACAATTTTGCGACTTTGCTCAATGATGTGCGAATTTGCCTCTGTATTTCAAATTTCAGTGTTTTTGGTTTGATTATATTATTGAATTAAATTTATTATTATTATATTATTATTTTATGATTATTTATTAAATTATAATTTATGATTTCGTGTTTCAAATTTTATCATATCCGGAATGTTTAATAGACTCTTGTTCGGACAGATTTCAGTGAGTTATTCCTAAAAATTACAGCCTACAATAAAAAACTACATATTTCCAGGCAAAAAAAAAATGGTACCGCTTTCAGCACAAAAAAAAACGGAAAGAATCATACCGCCAGGGAGGTTAATGAACAACTCACACCTAATTATCTCAACACATACTGCTGTCTCTGCTTCTACTGTGTGTATTTCTCTGAAACAGTCCGAAATAGTTAATAATTTACCACTTTTCAGTGCATTCTGGGCATTTTGGAGGTTCCCCTGTGCTTATCTTTAAAAAAAAAAACGCCCCCCTTCTAAACGCAAACGCACATAAACGCGTTATACAAACACGGCTAAACAGATGTTTTTTAACCTACATTTTCCAGCAGTCAGTTTCCATCGTTCAAAAATGTCCCATGTACATGGGGCCTAATTCTTTTGGAGGACGGTGATTTAACCCCTTGGTGACTGGAAATAAGTGAATCTGATACTTTGAAAGTACATTATATTTATTAATGTTTACTTCGTGTGGAATGTGGAGGACACACCGCGTGGAGACTGGAATTGTGAAGACAATGTTCTCTGGAAAACACAACCGCACTTTATTGGATACATTTTGCACTGGATATATTACACTGTTTTTGTACAGGACATTTATATTTTCATGATGAAAGCTATTGATGAACACCGATTGTTGCGCTGAAGTTATCTGGTTTCACTGAACACTTTATATATTTGTGATAATTATTTTGGATAAGATTTGGCACGTTGCATTATGTATAATTTTGAATGCTTATTTGATTATTGCTGATAATTTTTTTTTTTATGACTTTATATATTTACACGTTTCTACATTAAGATTTTAGTAGTTATAGTGCAGTCACATCTTCTAATTTGAGCACTATATCCTTTTAGGGACCGCAGCTGTACATTAGGGGTATTGCTTTTATTTGTTTTCATGTGGCGCAGACTTTATTTAAGATTAACACGCACGGGTGTTGAGAGGTACAAAAAAATGCCAGATGCCCCTAACAGCAGCATTACATGTCCAGTGTGCACAAGGCCTTATTCTGGTAAGAGCCCACAATAAACCTCTATGACCCCAATGATGCCCATTACAAAAACTGTGGCAAGCTGGAGAGTGCCTGGGAAACAATTGCCGTAGTGGACATGGCTCAAGAGCTCCAATAGCAGAGGACACCATAACAACACACAGAAAAATCAGGACATACATACAAGGAAAACAATATTTGATGTCACAGATGATACTCGTTTTCACTAGACAAAACAAAAATAGTTGAAAACACATGAAAAATTCTTGAAAACCACCTGTTTCTGTGCAAGTGAAACACACCAAAAACACTTCAAAATCACCTAAAAATGCTCATGCTCAAGTGTGAATAGGGACTTAGCTTCTTTTATGAAACCCTGCAACAATACTGACACAAAATCACTTTCTTTATTAGGAAAATGTATTTATCAAATCCCAAAACAACATTTTATTTGAATAAACACCCTCATTCTGAATTAGCTAAAGAATTTAGTAAATGAGCATACATAAGCCCCATACACACGATACACACAATGAGAATATTGGACGAATGATCGTCCGTTTTTTTTTTTTTTTTGCATGCTAGTCTCATATTGAAAGTGAAGATGTTACTAAAGTTATGAAAATTCTTCTCCAACAAAATGAGAAAATTCAGAAATGATGTAATGTACTTGTATTTTATTTTCGGATGAAAACTGTACTGATTAAACAAAAAGATTACGATCTGGTATTGTATGGGAAAATTTTTTGTGCTGGACTCTTCTAATAATTTCAGACGAAAGCTGTGTACTAACGATCAGATGACCGTATGATTGCTTCGAAAGCAGTATTTTTCATATGATTTTCTGATCCTGTGTACTAGGCTTAAGGATACATAAATATACAGTGTGTGTGTGTATATATATATATATATATACACACATTTATATACCCTGTATATTATCATGTATACTGTATAGTTTAGATTGGAAGCTTTCTTGAGCAGACACCATCTCTTTTTATTTTGTAAAGCACTATGCAAACTGTTGGCGCTATATAAATTCTGTGTTATAATAACAATCATAATTACAAGCCTTATTATGAATGAAAGGAATAAAAGATCTGCAAACACTACTACAATGTCAGCTAGGAAGTGTTCAAATGTTAT